GGACATGCCAACCCATCCAAGCAAGGCGTCCCACACACCGCAAGTCTTGAAATCATTCCCCAGACAAGGGATCAATCTCACTGGATCCCCACGTTATCAGATGGCCCCAGTGGCATTCAATCAAAGTTATGGACCGGGGCTATTACAGCTCTGTTGAAAACGTCGTGCCACTCTCATCTGGTTGGGACAGATCTCATCCATACTCCATGGTTTGAGCAAAATTTGAAATCGTCCTTCACTAACCGCCAATAAAATCATCAATAATTGGGAAAGTCTCTGATTTGTCCAGCAGGTTGTTAGACTGCGCATTGCGTTAGATTTGGCTGTTGCTTTTCCTAGACTTGAGTCTGTAGATCCCTTGCGCTTCACTCGGTCCGGAGTATGGATAGACCGAGGTATTTCTATGAGACGGTGAGAGCAATATACTGTTCCACAGCTCATTAGAACCACACCATAAGTATGGCGATCAATTAGTAGGCATTAATGATCAACATAGTTTATTGATGGTCACATAGTGTTCAATTGATGTGGGTGTACTCCAGTTGGATATTTTGACTAGTATGCAAAGATATCCCGAATAATGAGGTAGATCACCGATCAATTCTATCAACTTCGAAATGCTAGATTTAATCCCCTCACCGGTGGCAGATGACGGTAGTAGGAATGCTACTAATTCTACTACGGGGTTTTGCAGGAAAGAAAATACAGTTGCAGTGCATACCGGGTACAGTTCGACGACTACTAGTTGTTCGTCCGACACAAAAGGAATATATACTGTACCATTTTCCATATATACAACACCAACTACTAATAGTTCGATCGCAGAATGCCGCGTCTACTTATTACTATGTTTGAGACTTCTGGTACTGTCTATTCCATGATGATATGAAGCATATTAGTACTAATATACAACCTCTACTTCATCCTCTTACGTCTGTCAGGCTCAAAAGCAATGACCTAACATCTTTTCAATTACTATACCTAGTACCTGTACTATAATCTTACGGGCATTCCAATAATATAGATATTGCACCAATGACTGAAAACAACAGTTTGTAGTCTAGCATTGCATCACAGCTCTCCCGAAGATGACTGGTTGACTGTTTCAAGTCTACCTCTGCCTACTCATTCCAGAAACAATATCGCAAATAACGATGAAGCCAGAAGCACTACATCCCATAGTCCAAAATACAGCTCCCCAACCCTTCAATCAGCCTCACATCTCCATGACAAATCCCCAAACCATCAAATTATACACCAACCTATTATCCAACCCCATTACTCACCATACACTACCTCTACACACCTCCCCTCCGAAATCACCCGCAACGTAGCATGAAAAGCATCCCTCCACCCGGCCCTTGCCGATCCGAGGTTGACAGTGGCCAAGAATACGTGGTCCGGACTGACGGACCGGCTCCACTCGTAGCTCTAGCCCCTTTCGTTTCCCCAGCGGGTAGATAGAACTAGACAATGCTCAAGCCTCTTGCCGATCGGGGATCGTGTCGGAGAGTAAGCATCCGAGAAACGGAGAATAGTTATCATCGGTTCATAGTAAGGGTGTTAGTGGGGGTATTTGTCACTGAACATAGACTATTTAAGGTTGCGCTTGATAGTTGCGGAGTGTGGGTATTTCCGTATGCCGGGGGTTCTATGCTGAGATGTGATGTGATGAGTGGAGGAGAGCATTGTCTGGAGTTTGGGATTTATGTTTTGGGGGAGGTGCACTGGACATCGAGGTTTACTGTCTGATGGATGGGGTATAAATTGCTCGATTCCCTCCCTGTTGGAAAGTAATTGTGACAGACTCAATTCAACTTCTCGTTCGGCAACTCCAGGGGTGGGTGGGTATGCTGGTTCTTCATGACTAGTGTATACCTATTTGGTCGATTCGGGATATGTATAAATGATGTACTTGAACCTCACTATAATTCCTAGGATATGTGTGATTGAATACTCATTTAGAAGATAAGCATAACGTTCAATCCAGATCTACATTCTTGGTGAATGGGAGAAGGACATTTGTGGGAAAGACATAACCATTCGAAATGTGTTATTTTCGTTGGATTGATACTATGCGTACCGTCCAGACTGTACAAATACTATCTGTTCACTGTTATAATTGGAGTTGCATCTGTACCTGGCTTATAAACACGAGTCCAGACCATTTTGTTGACCATCAACCTTGATTTCCAGGAGAAATTATGTGACAGCTCTTAGCGAAGGCGTCAGAATAATTATAGCAACGGTCATGAACTTGAACCACTGATTATAGAGTCTGATGTGTCAAAGAATGCCACCAGGCTAGCACTTACTATGAACTATCAAGCAAGCTAGCTGTATCGCGTGCATTTGGTGCATCGTGGCTTGTCCTAGAAGAGTCTAGGAGACGGTTGGAAGCGTTCATATATAGTCATTAGCTACATTCATCACCATCAGTCTCACATACTACTAAGAGCTATTAGTCAAAATCAATAGTTCGTCTTGACAGCGATAGTAGAGTTACATTCGTTTAAAGTATTCATTATAGGATCATGCAAGACCCAAGAAGATGCGAAGGATTCAACCCTCCATTGTATTAAAGCGAACGCAGATCCTACATTTCTCTCATTCCTACCGTGGAGACAACTTGGAGAAGAATTTGATGCTCAGGTTCTCTGAAGACACCAGCATTCAAATTTATCGTTCTTTTCGTCTTTACATCAATACTATGTGGAATATATGACTCTTCACAGAACTACAGGTACAATATAAACTACTGCTACGCTGTTAGTCACGGGCAGCAGTCAAGGTTACGATAAAGTTGGGCCTGTTTGAATCTGTGACTAATGGATTGCCGCATTGGGATTGGTGTTCCCCGGACTGCAACCCGGTGAAAGAAGCATCGTCGGCCCTTCGATTCTCCCCATATGCATGTCTGCCTTTAGCTTATATCAGTCCGATCATCTCTTCCCCCAGTCCTCCCACAATCTGGATGAGTTCTACTCCGGACTCATCGGGTTCGTCAGTGCAAGACCCATCGGCCACCGGCTATCAGGGGGGGAGACGCAAGAGATGGATTTCGGCGGAACCCGATCTGGGGACAGATAAGCGGCCGGGGAGGTTACATGAGGGCAGCGTGTCAGCCGTCCGTTCTTATCGGAGGGCCCACAGTTGAAGCCTGGACGAGAACAGCGTAATCGCCAGACGAACCAGTCATCGCTAGCGCTGCCCCGGTCTGCTGCAGGTTGCAACTCGCTTGGAAATTAGCTCGCGTGTCTGCCACGCCGCCGCCCAGAGATAACCACTGCCTACCATTATTCGATTGATTCATCCATCACCTTCGCCACTGATAGCTGTATCATCCACGCCGGTCCGAGCTTCACTCATCCCGATTCATCTTCGAGCACACGGAAGATGGTTCATGTATATAGACACCTCGCCCGTCGATAGTTGAGATGGTTCTTAGTCTATTCCCCGGATCCAACTAGCCATTGCTGAGAAACGACCCCTCACTCCACTCGGACTACTTCATCTGGGTCCATATTTAAACATCGAGACATTTTCCATTCGTCCGTAACTCATCGAGTTTCATCTACACTTCTACGTCAAAATCTGTTACACATTAGACCCCCTCACATAATGGACGGTCCTGACCAGATAGGCCCGGACCACCGGCCTAAGCGGACTTGGAATGACATTGGCCGCCGCTTTGTCAAAACCTTCACCACAAGGTTGGTCATGGAAGCTCGTTGAACCAGTCGATGTGCTAATATGTCGCAGAGAGGGCCTCATTGGAGATTATGATTACGCCTATTTGTTCACTCCGAATATCCCCTTCATCACCAAGAAACGAAGCTCTGCACCATTCTTCGGACTCGAAGACAATGTACCTATTGTACTAGCTATGCTGCTTGGACTACAACATGCGTTGGCAATGCTGGGTGGCAGTGAGTTAGATCCTCCTTGAAACCTGACCCCTAGTGCTGACTCGTCAGTTATTTCACCTCCTATCATGATCGGAGGCACATCTGGTGCCAACTTCGGAACAGAAGACTACCAATACCTGGTCTCAACATCCCTCATCGCTTCCGGTATCTTGTCCGCCATTCAGATGTTCCGTTTCCACATCTACGGAACGAAATACTACATTGGTACTGGGTTGACTTCAGTGGTGGGAATCTCCTTTGCTACAATCACCGTCGCAACTGGTGGTTTTGATCAAATGTACTCCAGTGGATACTGCCCGACCGCTGAGGATGGAACCAAGCTGCCCTGCCCTAAAGGTTATGGCGCTCTGCTGGGAACATCGTGTTTGTGTGCGCTTCTCGAGGTTGGCCTTTCCTTCATGAGCCCTAAGATTTTGAGACGTGTCTTTCCTCCCCTCGTCACTGGACCCACCGTTCTCCTGATTGGAGCCAGTCTTATCGAATCCGCTTTCGAGGACTGGGCAGGTGGCTCTGGAACCTGCTCTGATGATCCTGGAAACGGTGCCTTGTGTCCTAGCGCTGATGCACCGCATGCTCTGCCTTGGGGAAGTGCGGAGTTTATCGGTCTCGGTTTTCTGGTGTATGTATCGATCATTCTCTGTGAGCGGTTTGGTGCGCCAATCATGCGATCCTGCTCGGTCGTGGTGGGTTTGTTGGTAGGATGTATCGTGGCGGCTGCCTGCGGATACTTTGATCGATCGGGTATTGACGCTGCGCCGGTGGCCTCCTTTATCTGGGTGAAGACATTCCCGCTGACCATCTACCCGCCCATGATCCTTCCACTGCTGGCAGTGTACATTGTGGTCATGATGGAATCAATTGGTGACATTACCGCTACTTGCGATGTATCCCAGGTCGAAGTTGAAGGGCCCACATTCGATTCGCGTATTCAGGGTGGTGTTCTGGGTAACGGTCTCACCAGTGTGCTGGCCGGCCTCATGACCATGACGCCGATGTCGGTGTTTGCCCAGAACAACGGTGTCATCGCGCTGACCAAGTGCGCCAACCGCACAGCTGGTTACTGCTGCTGCTTCTTCCTGATCATTATGGGAATTTTCGCCAAATTTGCCGCGGCACTGGTTGCCATTCCTGATAGTGTCCTTGGTGGCATGACCACCTTCCTTTTCTCCTCTGTGGCGATTTCCGGTGTTCGCATTATCACAAGTGTTCCATTCACTCGTCGCAACCGATTCATCCTGACCGCTTCGTTTGCAGTTGGTATGGGCGCTACCCTGGTATCCGACTGGTTCGACTACGTCTTCACCTACAGTGGCAACAACCGTGGTTTGACAGGACTGCTGGATGCTATTGAACTGGTGATGGAGAACGGGTTCGCCATCACCGCTCTGATCGGGCTGATTCTCAACCTGATCCTTCCGGAGGACCCAGAGGAGGAGGCGGCGATCCTGGAGGCACGGGGTGATTACCGACGGAGCGAGGAGGTGATGACATCGAGGGAGAGCACGCAGTACACGAAGGGCGAGCCCTCTAGTGTTTAATCTTGTTTTCTAGTCTGTTTGATTTGATTGGCGATATGGTTTTATTTGGATACCCTGACCTAGATGGTCATTTGAATTAATACAACATTTTTACTATCGAGACATTTCCATACCTAGTAGAAGCAGCGCGAAGGGTTAAATTAGTGGCCTTATTTCCTTCTACCCGATTCCCGAGATCTTAATTTCCGCCGGGCTTTCTTGAGTATCCATGTGGCATTCAAGTTGCAGCACTGCGTTCCCACTCAACACGATCGGTCCTGGTTTTGCAGCATGGATGCTGACCAGTGAGCAGACATACACGTAGCCGAATATTGACGGAAAATTCAAGCAAGACACAATATGAAACAATAACACACAGTCTTCTTTATCCATCGACCGCAAGCAGTGCAATTACTTTGGCCAGACTGAGTACAAATAGATTCTCCGAACCCCTCCTATCTTTGGATCATTTCATGCATTGTTGTTCCCGCGTCTGCCGATCATTGCAGGGCACATTGATTGTAGGTGCCCTGCATTCCTCTGCGTGAATTGTGGCGCGCACCCACCCTGAGTCAACTCGATCAACATAACGTCTACATCTCGTCCATCTTTCTTGAAAGAGACGGGATGTCTTGACCTTGAACCTGCTGTCAACCTCTGCCGGCAATATGGCTGTACTCACAAAACTCTCAACCACTCAGAGATGGAGATCTTCAAGCCAGTTCATCATCGCCACCGCGTGCTTGGCCATGTTTACTGGTACGAACACACACACATACCTGCCTACTCCCGCCGACAACTGTCTCACATCCACTAACCAAGCCAGTGAACAGAATCGCTTCTAGCCGGTTTCCCCGTACCGATGCTCCCATATATGCTAGAAGAGCGTCTTCACAACGATCCCTCCCAGACCACTGCCACCACCAACAGCCTGCTCAGTCTACACGGCCTGGCATCAATTCTCGCTTCTCCTTCTTGCGCAACTTTATTCGATACGATCTCGAACCAGAAGATCCCGCTATATTTGGCACTCGTGCTTTGTCTAGCTGGAACTGCCCTGTTTGCAATCACCACCACATGTACCTATCACCCTAGCCACATCCCCTTCCTGCTCTATAAGCTGATAATGTTTATGAAGCAGCATGGGTGCTATACCTGGGCAGAATTCTACAGGCAGTTGCTGCCTCGGCTGCATGGCTCGCGTGCACGACCATGCTCACCGAGCTCGCGGGTAGTGCGCGAGCTGGGGCAATGTTGGGACTGAGTATGTCCTTTTCAACGTTGGGAACGGTCAGCGGACCGATGCTCGGGGGTGTTCTGTTAGGCTGGTTCGGATACTGGCCAGCTTGGTCTCTGCCAATGGTTCTGCTGATCCTCGACATGATTGCACGCTTCGTTATGATTCAGCCTGACTATTATCTACTTGATTCGCAGTCTCCAATCAGACTTGCCAACCGTAGCAAGATATGTCAAGATGTCCCCGAATCGTCCCCCTTCCTGCCCCAATCACCTTCATTTGGTCCAGAATCCCCAGCAAAAGCGGAGTCGGACAGCACCGCAACCACAAAATATCGCAACTACTACACCGTAATGCTCCAAGACGCTGGAATGTGGGCAGCCGTTCTAAACACCATGTCCCAAGCCGCACTCCGCGCTGCATTCAACGCTACTCTACCCGTGTATCTTCGGGATACCTTCAACTGGGGCCCATCGTCAGTCGGGGCGATATTCTTTGCTCTTCAAGTCCCTATCATCTTTTTGTCTCCCCTATTTGGCCATCTCCGGGATCGTGTCGGTATGCGATATCCAACGGCAGTCGGTTGGGCTCTTCTATGCCCGTTGATGTGTTACTTAGGTGTACCTGGCAGGGATGTTTCCCAGGCTAGTGGAAACCACACAGATGTAGAAGTAGCTTTTATCGTATGTATATGTGGCATAGGGTTAGTCATGTCGTCGGTTCAAGGTGCTGGGTCGTTTCATATGAGGTGTAAGTTGAACCAATTACCACGTTTATGTATATTAAGCGTGAAACAGAAATTACATGTTAGATGCTGACGATGAGTAGTCCTCCTAGAGGAAGTCGAAAAAGATGCTCCCACATTGTTTGGCCCTAATGGTGGGCGCGCGAGGTGCTTCGCGCTGGTGTCTATCTCGTTCAACGTCGGTCTGATGCTCGGCCCGGTCGTTACTGGGTTCCTGTTTGAGAGTGCAGGATACTATTATATGAATATTGTTCTGGGTAGGTCTTGGCTTGAAGATATTTTTTATTGGGACGGGGACTAATAGTGTGTATTCTAGGTGCTGCCTGCTTGGGAGTGGCGATGGTAACGCTTATGTTCTGTTGATTGAGATGTGCCTGATTTTTGGGTGTGGGTATCAATTAGTAGAGCGTATTCAAACTGTATTTGCCGCTGTTAAAATATTCACGTCCAGAACAATGTTAAAATAAAAAATTTTCGAGCAGAACACTACTAATACAACCAATAGAAAAATTATTACGACATCTGAATCTCACTCGCACCAGTTCCCGAGGGCTGACAGCAATGATGCTTATACAACAAAACGCCCGTTTCCAACCACACCTCAAACCCTCCTCACCGTCATCCAGCATTACATATTATTATCGATACTATCTGACAATATATTATGCCTTTCCTATTTATCTAGCACATACGACAACAGGGTGTGGAAAATAGGGCTTCCCGTCCGCTCAGCCGTACTCAAGCCACACGCCGGGAGGTTAGTAGTTGGGTGGGTGACCACCAGCGAATCCCTTCTGTTGTATGTAATTTTCTTTTTTCCTTTTTTTCCAATTATTACCATGACTGTTGAAGAAGACCTTACAACCATCACTTCTTCCCTGCTCATACATACATCCGCCAGTTATTCCTTCAACTGTGGTGCATTGACAGACGTACCTCCGCAGCCATGCCAAGAGTTCGAGTGACTCCTTTCAAGAGGGGGTTCCACTAACCCCAAAAAAGCCGCTGCCAAGAAAGTAATCACCCCCGAGAGATGATATTGGAGTGGATGTTGCATTAAACAGTCGTAGTAGAACAATGTTAGTAAAGGGTATACTCCAAATGTATCCTAGTATCCGGGTGGGAGTAGCAATTATTAGACCGCATATCGCAAGCTGCATTTGCCGTTATGATATTATACACAGCTAGAACAATACATTTGATTTGCTTTGCTTTTCTAGGTAGCTCGAAAGGGAGATTTAGTGCTCGTTGAGCTATCACCATCTCACCGGACACTCAACTTCTCACTCATTCCGACGCTTCTTTCAGTCTCTGCAACAGCCCCTCTATTTTTTCATCATCCCAGTCCTCCGAGAAGGTCCTACAATCCGAAATAGCTTCATCCCTTGCCAAACAAGCCATGTCCACCGGGGTGTTGACCCCCTCGTCTTGAGACTTAACATTTGCCAGGGCTCCCCGGTTGAGGAGAGCTTCGATCGTCTCCCAGTTGCCACTGTCCGCTGCCCAATGCAGAGCTGTGCGACCCTTGTCGTCTGTGGCGTTGATGTCCGCGCCAGCATCGAGCAATACTCCAAGATTCTCCGGGGTGCCCCTTGATGCAGCCGAATGGATTGGGAGACTGCCGTTCAAGAGCCGTGCATTCATGTCCGCACCGTGTTTATGGAGAAGTGCCTTGAGTCCGTCTGACGTGCGACAGGCAGCCGCAGCATGCAAAGCACTGAAGCCTTCGGAGTCCTGATCATCCAATTTTGAACCCGCCTTCAAGAGTGAATCGATGATATCGGTGTTACCATTCTCTGCTGCAATGAGGAGAGGAAACGATGGCCTTCCCTCCTCTAAGATTGTACCTCTCTGGTTTGGATCGGCACCTCTCCCTAGCAGTGTACTGATAAGTTCAGTATTTTGATCTCTTACCGCGTACAAAAGAGGTGTGCCGACGGTGTCGGGCGACTTCGGTGTGACCATTGCGCCATGTCGCATGAGGAGGTCGGCTATATCTCGATTGTTTGCTTTGACAGCTAGTGTCAGTGCCGTTTCACATATTGGTTCAGGTGGCCAGCGGCGATGATTCTCATATAAACGGTATTATCCAGTGAAACGGCGCTCGTCGGCTGCCTGGGGGTAGGCATTAACATCAGCTCCACGATGGATCAACAGCTCCACAATGAGTGGCCGAGTGGCGGCAACAGCATCAAGCAGAGGTGGGGTGTCTTCAGGCCCAAGGTTGAGCTGATCCTGCAATCCGTTGTCGAGTAAGTATGTCACGATAGAGATTGAACCACCCCATGCGGCCGCTCCCAATATGGATGTCTCATCATCGGGCTCTTCGCGATGAATATCTGCTCCTCTATCGATAAGCAACTGGAAAGCCCAAAGATCGGCGCCCCGAACAGCATCTCGTAAGCTTCGGTGCGTATCTGCTCCGTTCTGCAGGAGGAGATCAACAAGATCTTTTCTCTTCTGAGATAGCGCGCTTTGTAGAGCCCGGTGGGAATCCACTCTTGCGCCTGCATTGATTAAGATCTGGGCGATTTCGAAACTCCCCGCGTCCACCGCAGCTCTCAAGGGCGTCAAAAAGTCTGACTCCAGGTTTGGATCTGCTCCGCGAGATAGCAGCTCATGCACAGTGGCCGTATGCCCGCCTTTTATCGCCGATTGGAGAGCAATTGGGTGATCCGAGACTTGCGCGTGGCCGTTGACGTTGAGACCCTCGTCTAGATACTTTCGCACAAGCGCCTCGTCACCGGCACGAGCTGCGTATCTCAATGCTTCGTCTGGTGTAATTCCATAGGCTATCAGCTCGCGCAATATGTCGACGTGGCCGCCAGCCGCGGCCTGATACTGGGCGGCGGTGATGCCACATTGGGCAGGCCTAATGACTGCTGGGGTTCTACACTTCATGCTTCTTGCATTTGTGATGCGCTCATACCTCAGCAATGTCTTCACAACATCAAGACGACCACTACAAACTGCAATCACTAGGGCTGATGGAGGGTTTCCTTTCATGTCGTGGTAGTCCTCAGCGCCGTAATTGAGCAGCATCTCACAGACAGCTAGATGGCCTCTCGCGACAGCGAGAAATAGAGGATCCGACCTTTGGCCGCCAAAAGTCCGTGGATTCGGGAAGTTGACCTTGGCACCGGCCTCTAGCAGCGTGATGGCGACATCTGAATGACCTTGATCAGCTGCTGCACCAAGTGCCGTACTTCGTGCACCCCCTTTTGCATTGACTTCGGCCTTTGCCCCTATCAGTAACTGGACTATTTTCAGGTGGCCCATGAATGCGGCTGCTTGTAATGGATGGTGGTACAAGCCGCCGGAGACATTTGGGGATGCACCCTTGTCAAGAATTGCTTTCACCACTCGTGTCAGACCACAGTAGGAAGAGCAATATAGTGCTGTATAGTCATTGGTGTCGCTCGGTTCATCCCGCAGCCACGGTCGGTCAACCTTTGCCACTTTGCTCCATAGCCCAAAATAGGGCCCATTGTCATTAAAGAGATCTAGTAAGATAGACTCTAATTCAAGGTATTGCCAAGCGCCTTCAGAACGATCTTTATGCTCGTTCCAAAAGTGCCCTGCGTAGCGTGCCAGCGGACGATAAATCCAGAGGTCGCCGGCGGCAGACTGAACCGCATGGTGAAAGTACGCAAGGCTACAGTTAGCCAGGACCGCATGAGACAATCTCGCATCCAGAAAAAAGTCGGAGCACGAGCCTCCCAAGATTGCGTCGGAAGCGAGAAACTCTCGAACGGTGAAATGGGATAGCCTGACATATACATTCTGGGTGCCACTCGTTTCGTCCTCACGGCAGTAAGTGGAGACAAGACTGGAGCAGGAATCAATGAAGCTTTTTGGGTCGAGAAGCTCTAAGGTCTCGTCACAGAAGGGAATGTCTTCTTGATCGACGTCGATAGCTATGGCGCTTGTGATCTCCTCTAGAGATAGCTGCAAACACGTCAGAGTGGGAATGAGTCTTGATTTCCTATCGTAATGACTACTCACCGGCCGAAGAGCAAAGTTTACCCAGCGTAGAAGGTTCTTCACGAGAAAGCGGTTGCTCTCATCAATTCTGTCGATTGTCATGGTGTAGTGTTCGTCTAATGACTTTGGTAGGTCTCTGAGAGCTTTTTGTACCGCCTGTGGTGTGGCACACCGTCGCAGTGTCTGCAGTTGGCAGTCCATCCAACGAAATCTGCAAAAGGTGTTAGCCACTCAACAGTTCTGTAGGTCAAGGCTGAATACGCACGAGCCATTGGCTTGGGCCAGGAGGCTCTCTTCAATCTTCTTCTTCAACGATATTGGCCACCGGGCAAGTTTGCCCTGATGCGAGAACTGGTGTCGTAGTGCTGTCTGCATATCAACATTCACTGCTGAGTCATCAATTGTAATGGTGGAGATCTTGAGGCCTTCGAAAGCGTGTCGAAGTTGCTCCAAGTTTCGGCTGAACACAATCAAATGCTGTTGTCCTTTTGTCTGTTCCATCATCTCCTTAACGAACTTCGCAAGCTCGGGAACTCCATTCTGGAGGTATTCTTCGCATTCGTCGAGACCATCGAGAACAATGTAATTATGCTCGAACTGCAATAAGAGGTCATTCAGTAACCTCTTCCATGAAACTGAATGCTGTTCGTCGGATGGGCTGTTATAATTCCTCCACGGCCTCGGGAGATAGCGAGGAATGGTTGCTCCTTGATGAATCAGCTGCCTGACGAAGGATCCATATACGCGGTTGATGTCAACTCCTCTTTCTTCCGATGCATCCATGAAGAAATAGCATAGGCTACTACTTTCCTCCCCACCACAGTGGCCCTGAAGATCCTTAATGATCCTCGAACTGCTAGTTGTCAGACCATCATAATTCAAATGGGCGCAGAGACACTCGTCGACTGGATCCAATAGGAAGCATACGTACCATAGGACGGTTTTACCACATCCAGCTACAGCAGGGTGATCAGTAGTCGATTAAGCTCAGAGCTGAGGGTGCCACTTACCGTCTCCTTTGATCCACAAGAGATTGTTGCGAATAATCTTCCATTTCATGTATTGCTCTGTGTTCAATAGCCAGTCACCAGTAGCTGGAGCACACTTTTGGTACTCTTCTTCTTGCTTGGCTGATTGACAGCGTCCACCGAGCTGGCTGAGAAGTTCAGCTAGTTCACGGCCTAAAACTGTTATTAGCGGTCTTATTGACTCTGAACCCCAGCTTACCCTCGTCAGATTGAGCCACACTCTCCGATAGTCCAGTAACCTTCTTCTCAACGCTCGGAAACGACCGGGTGTGGCTTATTACCTCCATGTTCTGGCTAGGCGAACCGTCAGAAAAGCCACGGTTGCATATTCTGTCACGAACTACCCACGTATTATCAGCCGCCAATGCCAATTGCAGCTTGCTTTTGGTCGTCGCAAGGGTCTGCAATACTTTTTCCGCATCTACAGGTTGTAAAGGCCACACCAGAGCACGCTTCGAACTGGAGGTTTTCCCTAGTTTCAAACTTGCTTTCAGGTCCTGCAAATCGACCAAGCAAGTGCGGAGAGTACCACCATCCCCATCCATCGCCTGCAAAGACGGCAAAGAAGGCAAAGAATAGGCATCGTCGGACTCAATTGCCTTCACTAGTTGCTGTGCGATGTACCCAACACTGGCGACCTCGTCCAGAATCTGAGAGATATCTTGGGGCGCATCTCGGACGCCCATGCGGTAATCATAGCACACCGACACCAACCTACCACATACCTGGACAATGCCGATGAGGGTGCCGACAAGGCCAATTGGTTCAACCATATCAAGTGCGCACGAGCATGCAAATCAGAATCAAGTACGAGCTAGTGGAGGGGCACGACCCAGATTGGAGATAAACTAGTCCACACATGGACATCACGTGAAATTGTCTCACAAGGCTGCAAACACAGGGACGGATGAGTAGATCAGAGAAGATGTGACTGCTCACTGATTAGGCCTTGAGCGTTCACTGAGCGGTTATTTGTGATGCGAAATACTGACTGAGCAGGCCCTTGAATTCCCTTAATAAAGCGGTGGTACCCAGAAGCGGGAAGCTATGATCATTATAGAAGAGCAAGTACTTATAGGAGGATAAAACAAATAGCTTTACGCAAAGAGACCTAGTAATACAATAATGATACAAGATTAACACAACTCCACGAATAGCGCAACGAGTAAATTATACCCCCTCAACCTTCTCTCCCGGTGCCAACATCTTGATATAACAATGCTCTCCCGTCTCTAACACCGTAATAGGATCATTGACACGCAAGGTGAATTCTATACCATCATCAGTTCTACCAAACAACACAAACAAAGCAATAGGAAGATGGGAATACCTTTAACAGCAGGAACGCACTGCATCCCCAAGCACGCATTCGTCAAATCCCCCACATCAATCCGTCTATACCTCTTCAACGTCCGATCCGGCTCCCTGGGGTGTCGTACCCCGGTATCAGGATCCACATTGGGCAACTTACACCGAATAGTGCGGCATGCCGTGTAGATTTCGACCCCATCGCCAGAGGAATCTCCAATAACTATCCTCTTCCATTCATCTTCCACAAACTTCCCCGGCCCCTGAACAATCACATTCGCCCTAAATCGCCTCACACTCAACTCGGGAATCTCGTCCACACAGTTGGCAGCAACGTCCCTCACGCTCGCCATGTTGAGTAAATGGATCGGATACGCGTCCGCGAAGCCAGTCACGGGCTGGAAGCCTATATTTTCTTTGCGAGGGGCGTTGCGGTAGATTTCTCGTCTGTGAGTGGTGCTTGCACGGAAGAGGGAGAGTTTTCTCCGTTGATGGGATGGGAGGGTCGTGTCGTATGTTAGGAGGTCTTTCAGGGCTGCGGGGAGGAGGTGGAAGTAGTTGTGCGCGAGAGGGATGTCTTTCCAGATCTTGACGGGGGTGAGGGGGAATTGTGTTGTTGAGTTAGGCGGGGGGTCGAGGGGGATGGTGAAGGATGATTGGGATGGGAAGATGTGCAGGGTTCTTAGCAGGGTGATTAGGGGGTTGCGAGATGGTGGGAGGGGGTAGTGTATTAGCAGGACGCCATTTGATAATGTCTCTGGATTTGTGGCTGAATATGTAGGTGACGATGGATCTGGAATCCAAATCTCTGGACGGAGGAGGGCAAGCTGTCGGAAGTCGCGATCTCGGAGGGTGCGGGCTGTCCAGGTTCCGCTCTCTTCTTCCTGTTCTTTTTCGGTTGATGTTGAGGTTGATGTGTTGGTGGTAGCAGTGGTGGGTTGTGGTGATGGGAAAAGCTCCGCAAAACAGAACAGCCGGTCATACTTCAACCCCGTCTCTATCACATCTGCTGCCTCGAGTTCCACTCCTGCGCAGCTCTTGATCGGATACGTGAACAGTGCTTTTATGCGCCAAGCTGGTAGCCCGGTGTCGGGGTCTGTGTCGGTGCTGGGCACACCGTGGGTATACTTGGGTGAGTATTCATCGTGCAGGTTGGAGCGCTGCGATGGTAAGAGACCCAATCTGCGGCAGCCTTTTGGGGGCGGGGGTGTGGGGTTGAGGTAGGGGAGAAGGAGAATAATGCAGACGAGGATGGGGAGTGTGATGGATAGGAGGAGGGTAGTTGGAGCCGAGTTTAAACCATGTTGAATGGTGGAAGGGATGCTAGAGAGTAAGTCCAGCATTGGTGATGCGTATGTAGGCGAAGGGGTTCAATAATTGATTGATACTGGTCGTGAAAATGGTGATTGTAGATGGAAAAATCGTTCCTGAATATGGCGTCGGCAGTGATTATCAGATTATCAACGCCGGTGTCGGAAGATGCCGATGGTGGGTCCACTCATAGCCAAGGCTGCTTGTCTTCTGGATGAACTTTTGGGTTTAAGCTTTACCAGGTACTTTGTAGCCACCTTGAAAGATACCTGATTTGCCTACAATCGCAGGCCACCAAAAATGCAATGCTGGTTCGATAATTCATCGGTTACTTGCCCGATATTGCGCTCCATGACTATACGAGTCTATTTTGATCCCTTTGGAGACACAAGGAGGAAAGAAAGACAATATGAGAAAGGGGAGACGTATCTGGTTGGGTTATACATTTTATTTTCGACATCAAGTACATAATCTCATAATTAAACCAGAAAAAGGAAAGGTTGTTATCTGCTTTAAAAATCTGCGTCGTCAAAGGCTCTTGGGTGCTTATTCGAAAAGTTCAAAGTCTCCCGCGCAATCTCTGTTCCCTCTCAAAAGCCTCGAATAGACTCTTGAAGTTCTCAGCCCCAAACCCATCGAAATTTTCTCTTTGGATTATTTCCATAAAAATGGTAGGACGGTCACCCACGTGCTTCGTAAAATTTGCAAAAGATATCCCCCTTCATCGAAGTCGATAAGAATGTTGTATTTCTGCACAAGGGTGATATCTTCGGCAATTTTAACATTCTTCATAGCCAGCTTCTCACGCATCTTGACATAGTAGCGACTAGGGACGGAAAGAAAGCTTATGCCGCGCTTTGTCAAGCTTTCGACAGCTTTAATAATGTTATTGGTCCGGAAAGCGATGTGCTGACAGCCGGCTCCTCCGTAGTAGTCCACGAATCCAAACACATGCATAAGCATTGATTATATTACCGGGACCCTTTCTCAAACATCAGGTGGGGGTGGTGCGACTCACTCTTCGAACTGAGATTTCTTCAGACCAGTGGCTGGCTCTTTTGTCGGCATTCTGATCACATTGTTCGGAGATGCCACAGCGACTGACCGCATAGCTGAATAATCCGAGCACATATCTTTGTCGTCCACAGACCAATAGCGGTGAAAGTTCGGAGCATCCTCGTAACTAACAGATACGATTATGAGCAAAGTTCTTTGGAATTATTGGAAGTCTACATCGATGGAGGGATCCGTCGTGGCACCGATATACTCAAGGCACTTTGTGTGGGAGCGAAGGCAGTGCTAATCGGCAGGCCATTTCTTTATTCTCTTGCATATGGGGAGGATGGGCCTAAGCATCTTCTTGATGGTAAGTTATATTTATGTTATGCTCTGCATATTATATGAGTGATCCTGACGCTGCGAAGTAGTGCAAGCTGAGCCGGAGACTGCCATGAAATTAGTTGGAATTACGAATCTTTCGCAGGCGAATCCGGCCTTGGTTAATACACAGGATCTTGATCATTTGGTCGTGCGAGATGTGGGGATTACCGATGCAATTGAGGTGCCTAGTGCAAAGATGTGAAATGGTAGTAGAGAAATCAATCATGATCAAAACAATATCCGGCCCCGCTGGGATCTCTGATAGAGAAAAGGGTCGTTGATTATGGTGCAAATTCTCGCAAATTATAGGGACAAGAAACAATAACGTTATATGACAAGTTCACTGTGATCTGACACCGTCCATATCAGGCAACTGAGCTAAATATACATAGGATTTGATCTAAGGCAACATCATTGTGAATACCTTCGTCCTCCGTCGATCGATCTCTTGGATAATCTTCTCACCATTCTCGGCCCACTTATCAAATACCTGTCCCACCAAATACTCAATCCTGTCCTCTTCCTCTTCACTTAAACTCTCCTCGAATGTTTCTTTCGCCGACGAAGCCTTTTCCGTCCAAACCTTGAGCTGTTCTTTATCACCTTGGATCTCACACGTTCGAGCGACCGCCTCTATAGCCTCCAGTGCTGGTAAAGAATTTTCTTCTGTCAATGTAGCCCATGTCTCTACAACACGACGTTGCATAGCACTACCCTTCATTAACTTAGGGCCGCCCTGCGACACGAGGATACTCCCCAGAATAGCCATAGCGCGGAGTGATTCTGGACTATTCTCGTCAGTACTCTCGGTAATCGTCTTCAACGCCTGGCGTGCAAGTGCTTCTGCCGTCGTGTGGTCCCTCAGTCCCTCGTATGCCCGAGCAAGCCCAATGTCCAATTGAGCCATTATCATTCGTTCGGGCACGGTATCCTGTCGCACTCGCTGCAAGTAGCGGTCTTTACACTCAAGGCTGAGTACCAAGGCATTCATAAAATTCCCCTGTAAGCTAAGCGTATCTCGGAGGCGCAAGGAGGTCTGCAGTGTCCGCATGTCCATCGTCCCTAGCAACTGAGCTAAGATCGAATGCGTCTTTTCGTAAATATGCTGGGATTGTTGCCAACATCTTGCTCTGCTCAATACAGTGGCAACATCTTCAATGATGGATACTGTTCCAAGGAGAGAGGAAACGGTGGACTTCTCAATGTCCCAGGCATCCTCATACGCCTTGCTCAGAATGTCAACCACAAGCGATCCTGCCGAGCGATATTGTCCCATTTCCATATAGGCCAAAGCAAGATTCGTACGGCAGCGTGCCACGGTTTCTCCAAGAGGCTCTGCCTGTCTCTGAACCTTCCCCAGTGCCTCAGAAGCCATGCTCAAGGCGGGAGAATATCGCCCCTGCTCAAGTAAGACTGAGGAGCACCTGACCATTACATCTGATTCCAGCCATTCCATCTGACTGCCCCCGTTTACAATGGTCAGCGACTCCAGATATTGTTCTTCTGCCTCAGCAGCTTTCCCAAGCAGCCTGTACACGAAGCCAAGCGTCCGGAAGGCTGATAGAGCTATATACGGCAGTGTCTCGATTCGTGGTCTTACCAGCCGCACCGCATCACGTGCCATGTGCTCTGCCACGTGAAGATATTCGCACCGATCAATCCCGCAGTCAGCAAGTCTACCTGCGATATTTACCATGCGATCGAGGTTGCCCTTGTGGCTCACATCCTCAGTCTCCAAAGGGTACTCGAGATTAGTGTACAGGCCTGGCCTTGCTTCAGCATGCCGTCCTTGCTGGATGAGGTTCAATCCGAGTTCGTACTGGCTTAGACAAGCGGGTACACTCCCACGGCCTAGTCGACGTTGATTTATTTGTGCGACCTTTGTTCGAAGAGGCTGCGCCGCCAGGCACATATCCCAATTCTCGTAAAACTCGGCTAGATTCCTCATCGCGGCGACGGTTGACTCTTGATCTCCCTCTTGTCGGATGTAAGACTTAACAGACTGAATTAGCAGAGGCTCAGCTTCAGCATGTCGGTTCAGGGCGACCAAGGCTTGTGTCAATCCCGTGATGGTATCAGTCTCTATGGAAGAACCTGCGGTCTGAGATTCTTGCATCCGCTCTAGAGCTTTCTGAAAGACAGCAGCAGCGGCGGCTGGCTTGCCCTGACCCTGCAGGAGACCCCCAGATTGTATCATGGTCATGATTTCACCAAACTCGATAGTTGTACTCATAGCATCTGTTGCCCAATGCTGTAAAAAGGCCTTTGTGCACGCAGCTGCTGTGGCTGCTGCGTAATCCTGCCAAACCTCATTTTTGTGCGAATCTGCATAATCACAGACTCCCTTAATGACCAAGCTGGGGAACAAGCTACTAGTATAGGCACCGGCGCCTTCTATTTCCAAACCAATGATGCCTTCGCGCTCAGCAAGTTCGTCACGCTGCTTACCAGACTCCATGACGGCACTGCCAAAGCCCATGCGACCCACGTGAATAGCTGGCGATGGCCCTGTTTTGGTTCGTTCTGAACCTTCTGGGGTTTGCGAACAAATAACAGTCCTTTCCCTACTCACCAGGTTATTCTCATCGCATCCCAAGTCACAGCAGGAAGCCTTGAGTGCATCAGCGCATACATTGTCGTCCGAGCACTCGCCACAAGTGGATGGTTCACGGTGGCGATGAAGATATGATGGTTGGAAGAGCTGGTCCGACTCACGACCAGGATACTGGTATCTTGGTCGGTGCTGCAGGGTCTGAAGCCAGATTTTTGCTTCTTCCTCGAGGTGTTGTAGATGGCGATCGGTCTCCAGCTTTCGCAAGATAGATTGGATGGACAGGGAAGGTACGCCACCTCCAACCTCCTCACCATCGGCGTGCCTGTCTCTCTGATACTGTCGCCCAAAATCGTACTCCGCCACTGCTTGACTGAAGATAACGTCTCCAAGGAAGATATCCCGTTGCCGGTTGGCATCCGAAGGAATGCCACCACAGATTCCTACGGCCAGGGCGAGAACAATACTGGGAAAGCTAGTGCGCAAACCTGTAGCTACCCCACCTGTACTGACCTTGCCCGTAGGCGGCATATGCGCGACCACAACATTGTGTGTGCCGATAACACCTGTAGTGTAGGCATTGGGATCACCAGGAGCTTTGCTATAGACCTCTTCGGTATCCTCCCAGTGATGGTCAAGAAGCGCGATCACCGCATCTGCTTCCCGGGGAAGGGCACAGACAATGGCGATCTTAAACCCATGACGATCGCGAGGGGGACGGGTCACCACAGTCATATTCTCAGCATGGGGCAGATAATAAACTTGTCCTATAAAGGGGATGTATCAAAATCATTCAAGTTTGTAGGCCGATAATGTGTGTGGGGTTCTTGGATGATAGATCCAGGGAAGCAGATAAATCCATGGTTGATTGTATCGAGGGGCAGGGGATGCTGAGCGGCGATTTAGCGCATGAGGATCCACCTGTTAATGAACTAAGCTGTCAGCCGAACGAGATCGGCGCGGAATCTTCTATAGCACCAATCAGAGAGACAAGATGGTTCGGCAGCACCTCAACAAATGTCTCCTCGGATTATAAGCGAATCGGAGTGAAAGTACCAAGAAGAAATAGCGGGTATCTGACCAGAGTTCATCAATTAAAAAGCGGTTACTCCATTTTCTGCACCTCAAGTCTTTTCATTACAAATTTTCTGGCAATTCCGAGTCTGTTGCGACGCCATTTCAGGCTTCGGACTCGTGGCTGCAACATAAAGGGCATCGGTCTCGTCTTACCCAGGCTCACCAGCCAGTCTGAGCTAGAATTATTCACTCGAAGGGTCACATAAGGACATGCGGAGTCAATCGTGACAATCAGCCTCCAAATCGTGTTGTAGCTTCTCAAAGTGCTTTTATCGTTCTGTATCGACAAGGACGAGAGATAGTGGGCCTTGGTAATTCAACTCGCCTGATACTGAGACGTATTGGAATAGGAAGATGAGATGAGATTACAGTATGGGGATCTCTCGGTAGATATGGGGTATTAGCGGTGCAAAGTATCGGACCAAGGCGCTTTCTGCTTCTCTATAGCAAAGTGTCTCTTCCTATGATTTGTCCCGCAAGTCACCTGCCATGAAAACAGCCAAATTCGGCAGGTGTGGATGAGTACTATGTTGGACAGCAAATGTGCCTCCCAGCACTAAATCAGAGCTTTGTCTGCCACACCCTAGACGCAACACACCGTTTCAATGACACGACTTCTCACCTATCGCTGCAGAGGACGATAAAGGAGTCTCAGGATGACATTCTCAGCTCGCCGCAAAATTGTCATCAGACCATACCAAGCACCCCCCGGTTCTATGCACAATCAATCCACTAATCCTCGCAACTTCACAACATTTACTCTCCCCCTCAAGCAGCATACTACTTCCCCAGACGCCTCCCCACCAACCCCATTTATACCCCCAAATCCCATCAATACATCGCCCACCCCCCACTCGCACAAACAACCTGCCCAGTAATCCAGGAAGCATCCCTCCCCGCCAACCAAGCCACCACACTACTAATCTCCCCCGTCGTTCCCAACCTCTGCTCCACAGGCGTGCTAGCCATCTGCGCCTCCACAATCTCCCTCGGGATCCTATCCAGCAAATCACTCGGCACCGGCCCCGGCGCAACAGCATTAACCGTCGTCCCATTCCCACCCAACTCCGCCGCCCAAGCGCGCGTGAACCCCTCAATCGCCGCCTTGGAAGCGATATACAAACTTATCCCCTTGAAACCGTACCTTGCCCCAACCGAACTCAAGTTGATGATTCGGCCGTGACCCTCGGGTGGGAGATACGGTAGCACGGCCTGGGTCATGAGCATGGTGCCGCGGACGTTGAGGTTGAAGACGTTGTTGTAGTCGTCTATGGTGGTTTCGGTGAGGGGATTGACGATTTCAATGCCGGCGTTGTTGACTAGGATGTCTACTTTGAGGGGATTTGGGGTGGTGGGATGGGCTTTGAGTTCGGAGATTAGATCTGAGGCGCCGGTGGGTGTGGAGAGGTCGGCTTGGATGGTCCATATTTTGGGGTTATGGGGGAGTTGGGTGATTTTGGTGCGGAGGTCGGTGATGGATTGGGCGCTGGTGGGAGAGACGTAGGTCATGCAGACCTGGGGTGTTTTAGTTTATTTTGTATGACGAAGGGAAGGGGTTGTGTATTTGTGATGGCTTACATTTGCACCGCGACGTGCAAGTTCCCACGCGATGCTAGCTCCGATGCCGCGGGATGCGCCCGTCACAATGGCGAGCTTGCCATGAAGTGGGAGAGTGAATTCGAACGACGATGGATCCATACTTTACGAGGAGAATTAGGAGGTCTCATGAAAGTAGTCGATCATGGGTTGTTCAGTTAATGACTTTGTGTCATTGGGACATATATAGTAAGACATTCTACTATCTACAGTATGAGACAACGGCTTACGCTGTGCCGTGATGTCATTCCTCGGCTATAGGATATAAGTCAGTAACTCCGAAGCCATAATCCTCTAGACACATTCCATTACACATTCGTCAAATGGACATTAGCCAAACCGGTGCTGTTAATCAGGGCGTACTGTAATGGTTGGGCAATGGTAAGGTGAATCTGGGGAAACCGATCAACCTACTATAAGATATTGCCTTACGTATTGCACAGTGGCATTGTTACCCACTACATTGCATTGCATAATAAACTTGTTTTGGACAGGAAGTGAAAAGAGCGAACAAGACAAGTATTAAGAATAAAACGAGCCTAAAGTGTATTGAAAAACAAGTGTCGAATTCATGCGGGCGCTGGAAGATTTCCAGGTCATCACTTGCTAATTACACCAATACCAACAAAACATTAAGCCAATGCAGGACCAACATATACTGTCGAGCTAATCACATAGAGTCATTGATTCATCGGTGTCCTCTGGTCGTAACGATCCCCAGGCCGACATGAGCACGTCATCGTCACAATCATTCCCGTGTCTCAATAGGAAGCTTTTTCTCATCGTTCACAGAATATCGCAGGTTCCAGATACCTGGGTCTGTGGTGGGCTGACAGGCACAGTAACCTCACCAGCCACCACAGTGCTGCTGCCGTCAACTCCTTGGAAGGTGCAGAATCCGCCTCCGACAGAGGAAATCTTGGTAATTGACAGTGGGTTGGCTGTTGATGAAAGGTATTAGTAACAGGTCCTTCAAGGCCGGGAGTTATATGTCAAAGACATACTGATTGCATGAGTGGTATCGTCAGCTGGGAAGCTTTGGAAGAACGAGGAACCGTCGGCGCCCCAGAAGGTGATGGCGACTTCGAAGGTTGAGCTATCAGTGGGAGCGGCGCTGGACAGAGCAGCGAAGGTAGAGCAAGCCGCGGTGATGAAAGAGGTCTTCATTTTGATATAATGCTTTGAATGAATTGGTATGAGATGTTTTTGAAGAGGCTTCTTGTCAATGAGAAGATGAGAAAATGCTGGTTTGATGGATGTGTTATTCTTTCAAGGGACATGGAAAGACGGAGGCATTTATATGTTTTCAGTCGCTCCTGCTCGCTCAATGAAATCTCACACCGCTTGATCCATATGATGTTTTCCTTCTAGATGTGTTCGTGGTTTCCGAATTGGGTATACCAAAAATAGACATCTACAGGTCTGATGCATCGATGTCATAGGACTGGGTGCCACGGAAAGATCGCCGCTGTCAGGCAAGCCACCCGTGACTATTGAACCCACCCCGACACTCGTAGCGAGAAGTGACTGGTTCGAGAGCGAGACATGTTCAAGGCATTCATTAGTTGGATAATTTAGGTTCAGATCGTGTCTGACTCAGATCAAGCCCGATCGGCACTATACGAGCCGCGTGGTGCCCCGCAAACTCCGATTAGTGACTCGATCTGTCCATGCCTACAGGACAGATGAGACATAAGCTCGTACTTGTGCCAAGTGAGCAACATTTTTATAGTTGGGAGAATAAGATATCCGACATTGTTCTCAGAAGGGGCTTAGCTTGACGACACCGCAACACAGAAAGCGGACTAGGCATCACTAAACTGGATTTAGTAATTGTCTTAAACGAACATCCTTCGATGACTTACACGAACTGTGTATGCCGGCTGAGCTGAGGGTTGGGTAGTAGTGAGGCTGATCGAAAGGATGTTGTGGGCACACATGATTTGCTTTGAAAGGCGTCCAAGCAAGGAGGCATAGACTTCGAGGGGGAACGATGCGTTACACAGTAAAAATCCAAGCCTACATGCAGTTCAGCGATGCGATCTCGAAAGCCCTGTAGCTCACCACACAGAATGAATGAGCGGCGAAATTGGTCTTTACTCTCTAAGGTAATAAATTAAGCTAGCTTAGGTCCCGACTTTAGTAATGAGGTTATCAGAACTGGTCACGATCACGCATGACTTGCAATCTTGTACAAAAAGAAAAAGACTGTATGTGCTTAGAGTCCGGGTGTTGAGTTACTAACCAATAGGCACATTAGGACAGGCACATAGTTTCCTCCGCGACGATTTTTGCAGCAGAAGCCTTGTGTGTGTTGGACTCAAGATAGGTTTATTTCAGGACCAGGGCACAAAGTAATTCTGAGACATTCCTGATCTACTAACCTCTCCTTCATTCAAGCCCGTTTTCGTCGGGACTCTCGTCACGGATAATTTATGCGTGCTATAAGGCTGAGTACCTAAGGCGGTTGCTGCACCGAAGGAGAGCCGGAAATATGATATCACAGATCGGAATGTGCTGGCATATACCGGACAGTCCGACGTGTTATTTTTTCATTCAGCGCTGCATTTCCCGAAGGGTCCGGCTGGGCAAGGTTTGGACTGACATCTGCACCAGTGGCTCTGGCATCGGCTTGGAAGTTTCAGCCTTATCCCTTGTTGTCAACACGACCGTTCAGCGAATAACAACGCAGAAAAAGTGAATATGATGCAGGGTCAGTTGCACTTACAAAGCCAAGGAGCACTTGAGGATCTATAATATGATGGGACGATATGGGATGAGTTGATTCATCAATTCAAAACGCAGCAGGATTCAGAAAAGCCTGTTCCAATGCGGAGAAACTGGCCGACTCTAGGATCACGAGACCACCCTCTCCCTCCCTATGCACGACTTGTCAATTACTATACCCCCATTTACTTGAGGACTTGGCTCTACTCAGCGGTTCAGTATCTTGAGTTACTACAGGCTTTTATCCCCTCTGTTTCGGCTGGAGAGAAGAATGAAGGTCGCAATAGTCAAGGAGACAGGGTAAAAATAGATCAAGCAGTGAAGACATAAACATCGCTTCGAAGAACTGTACTGTCAACCACTAACCAGTCACTAAAATCCACACATGAACACTTCATGCACCAACCATTACTGCTCAACTCCTGCATCATAAGACGTATCCACGACTTTTGCCCACAGTTCTCTTTCCATTGGCTTTATTCAACATCGCAGCAAACCTAGCCTCCGCTTCAATACCATTGATGTTTTCAACAAGCTTAATGTAGCCCTCATCATCTAACGCGAAGAGGGCCTCTTTCACCCAAACACGACAAGTCATGGCTTCATGAAAGCGCGTCGAGTACTGGATGGGGATCTCCGACAAGCGGGTCTCCAACGGGCCGTGCAGTGCGGGGTGCAGATCTCCCACCTTCAGCGCCAGAAGGTATCGCCCGGAAGAGATGACCTTTTGGTCCGACTTGATCTCATAGCTGTAGACATTTCGATTGGGGAAGTTGGTGATATTAAAAATGGTGCCATCGGTCGGGGATTTGGCAAGGCAGAGACCCCAGTGGAATGTCGAGCTAGACTCTCGATCTGCTAGGAGGAGGTAGAGACCGTTGGGCTCTAAGTGCAGGGCCATGTGAGTGACAGTCGTAGAAAATATTCAAAAGATGTATAAAAGTGTAGATTCGGTGGATGCGACCCAGTTGCAGATGTATACTGGGTAGTGGGCACTGTACCCCTCATGTTCAGGGTGTTCTTCGAGCAGCTGAGGCGGAAGCTGCGCCACATTTGCAAGGACATGTGGCGAGCAAGTGAATGAAAAGTGGATGTGGTAATCCTAAGCGACACTTGTGGGATTATATATTCATAGCGGGAAAGCCTGCGTTAGTAGTCTTGACTAAAGGTTATCAACTCGGGTCTAAGCTCATAGCGTGTCCGAGGTTACGTCGTCAGTGGTTCAGCTTCGTTCAACGCCAGCGCTCTCATTGACAGCTGAGAAGAAAGTAAACACCGGTCATCACATGATTACAGTAAGGATGACTTACAATGAAAACGCAGGCACATCCACTTGGGCGTTTGCCGACGAAGTGCGGTTACTACATCTTCAAGGGAGGTGATGACCGACACCCCTGCGAGGCTAACATCATGCCAAGGCCCTTCAGGCCACGCGGGTCTGATTTCACACTAAGCCAACCTGTGAGCCCCTATTCCCATCCGCTCAGAAACATAGCGTGGCTGAATCTGGGCAGAAGCCAGCGGGGGCTCAAAATGTTCTTCATACTGTTGTTATCACGAAGGTGCGCGACTACGCGATCAATCAAAAGAAGAAGTTGTCGCAGGGCAATAGTGTGGCAGGCGATGCACTGTTCCCGCGGGCACTTCTGGCTGACTGGCTTTGGCACGACACTGGCCATCTGAGCTGGTATGTATGGTCCCGGAAACATGATCTGAATAACTTCTTATCTCCACTATATGTTTCGACATGAAGTGGTCTGGCTTGACAGCCACTCCTTTTCCCCATACGCATATTATGACAAAGTTGATATCAAGAACTGATATGTCGCTGGTGCCCTGGTCCTGAGTAGGTCTCAATGACCTCGATAAGAAATCCTTGTGACTTCTGTGTATTTGGATATGTGGCTTGGTTTTTGTTTCTCCTCAGCTGCGACAGAGCTGGAACATTCATTGCGGGCCATTAGCGCATTCTGGCATAGCCAGCTAGTGACTCAGACAACTAGACCACTAGATGAATCCGGGGTAAAGATATTGACACTTAGTAGGATGGAGTTACGATAGAAGTTGCAGACCAACGCAGAGTGAGACAACGTTAAAGGAGGCAATTGAATCCTTTTGTGGCGACGTCCCGAGCCATCTGAGCTTCCGAGGCTGCGGTGAACCGTGCTCCCCAGTCAAGAAGAATAATTGAGCTAATGATGTTTATGTTCAGGACTAGTGTAACCAACGGTTAAGCGGCCCACACGGTTAGGCGGCCCAGCTGGTAATACTATACAAAAGACCCTTTTGAAACACAAGAGATCTCAACCGCTATAAGACTAGAAGACTCAATATCGTATAAATAGATTATAAATTACATGAATAACTATCTAATACTTCTTACAAACCTATAATCCTATATAAATAATAATAATAGTATCTTATCATATTACAAATTCTGTAATTGATCTGTAATTTTGGATAAAGAAAAATCACATCTTATTTATGCTGCTGTAGATATCTAATATGTAAAACTAGAACTGATTAAATTCAGTACTGGTTGAGATATAAATTTAGAAAGGTATTTTTTATATAGGATAACCAGATGGGCCGCCTAACTGTGTGGGCCGCTTAACCGTGGGTTACGTTACCGGGACACTCTCCTCATTATTATATAAATAGAAATGTGGGATGGGACCACGTGTGTAACTGTGTCAGCTCTTCGAAATAACTTACCCGTGATCATCACGCTTCCCTGTGGGAATGCCGCGAACGATACGGCGACCACCCAACTGAAGGAATACAAAACGCGTACCTGCAGCTGTCTGTCCAATTTACCCATATCTGTGAGCATTACAACTTTCAGAATGCCTGATATGTGTTGCTCGGACGATGCGTTGTACTCATCGGGTGGGAAGGGCTCCATGCGGTATTTATTTCTTCATGGAGGTCATTCCCAACTACCCCCTCCTGACAATTTCTCGGTGGAGGCGAAATTGCTAGTACAAAATACTCATGGAGAGATGTAAGCCAAGCATATCGTATCCCGACAATGCGCTTATCTTAGATGACGCGCCCCTGTCGGCCTGGATACTGACTTCTTACTAGCATTTTCGACGACAGTCCAGATCAACCCACCTCACAGTACCAGTTCATTAATCGCACCTTGAAATCCGTCAATGGCGAGGAAGTTACGTACATACCAAAGCAGCTCTTTGTAGAAAAGATGCTGATGAATGTTTCTATCCCTACATTACTATTCGCCGAAATTCCACGGTAGGCTTTCCCCCCCACCTTGACATCTCCGTCGAAACGAGAATAAAACTGATCAAATACAGTGACCATGCAGATACCCCAAGCAGCGAGAATGTATCGTACGTGTATGTGTACCTAATTCTTTTTCTCCTCTATCTAAGTTCTGCCTGCTGTCAAAATTTACCATGGTTTCTCCTCTCTAATGTCCCGCTTCAGCACCCTACTAATCCTCGGCCGAACCGGTGTGGAGCAAGCCTCCTTCCAGGACTATGAATATCTCAAATCCATGCTTCAACTATTCGTTCCTCGATTTGGACGGGCCATATCGCGCATTAGCGACGCATACCTTCCCGGAGATGCACTGAATCTGTCGCATGAGGTTGCCAGCTACATGATGGTCCCGTCGGGAGATACCAATAATCTTCGCACCTTTCTTGCCATGTATGCAAAGCGCTACATGCTCAAGTCATCTAGCGAAAGAGAGGTATTGGAACGGTGTTTGTTGCATATGCTAAAGATGCCGTTTGAGTTGAGCTCGGCAATACGGTATGGTCTTATTTTGTATTGAGCTTGTTACTTCGGGTTGTGGGCGGCGCTGGTCTAGTCTCCCGGTACACCGGCAGAGATTCGAACGCGGATTCTGCATATGTACTGTGTGGTATCTTTTGCATCTTGGGTAGGTTTGGCCAAGTACGAGTCAAAACTGCCAAGGCGACGACCCTTCAGGTCGCAAACACTTGTTGAACGTGGACGGAAAAAGGACAATTATTACTTCTACACCGATTGCTGCCATAGCATACATGTGACGAGTGGATATAGATTCCGATGATTCCGTCCTCTTATATACCTAGATTGAAGCTCAGTCAATGCCATGGGAAGCTGTAAGTCTCACGTCCTCCGTCTTCTAGTCCAACCCGTTCTGTACTCAGCCTGACGTAGACGTGGAAACACATGAGCTTCGGTGTTGAACACCACGTCAGTCAATGGGAGAAAATCACTTGGTGAGAAGAGGAGATAGAGGTATTTCAAGGTTTCCGCCTGGAAGGTGTCAGCTTCTGATGCGCATATCGTATACCTCGCTTAACATACCAGCCAAAAACTCTCCATATTATCGCGTCTTTTCGGAGGAACTATCGTGACATCACTAAGAGATGTATAACCTTCCCCATCCTTTACCCGCGTGTGCTTTTGGAATGCCTTGAAGATCTCCCATCCCCATTGTCGATATATCGGATCTTTCGTGACACGATACATTAGAAAGAGGCTTTCGACGGTCTCTGGGCGTTGCAAGTTATCGGCATCTATTAGTCGGATGTTGATATCCTTAATCCAGGAGTTCATGTCGTCTCTGCTTGGGGGCCGAGACGCATTTGAATTGGAAAATGGCTCAAGGTCGGAATCTTCTGTCTCGAACCATACAATTTCCGGTGCTAGCCCCGTCTCTGTGACGGCGTATTGCGCCCAGCATGTCTTCGTTAGCTCCCTTGCGAGACGCATCTGCTCCTCTTTTTGAGCATTCCAGTGTTCAGTTCTGCGGGCCTCGGCTTCAGTCAATCCTTCCGTAGCCCCGATTGCGATTGATCCTGGTAGAAAGCAGACGAGATGGTCCATCTTCGGGGAAAGACGACCACCAATGCCGCTTGGAAGCTCTGCTATGTATTGGAGGTTGGAGTGCTTGGTGGAAGTAAGAAGATGCTTCTGAATCCCGGTGAGTGCCTCTTCCCACATTTCTCCGTAGATGGATTCGTTGGTCTGCAGGTATTGCTTAACCAAGTATTCTGTGTCTATATGAGCCTGTATTCAACGTGTGGAATGGTCATGCGGACTTACCATAGTACGAATCGCCACGACTTCCGAGCCGGATGGTCTTGTGCCGGAACCTCCCAGTATCCGGATTCACAAATATGGGGACAAGTCCATCTTTCACGCCGTGACTATCGAGTACCTCCATCACCCTTTCAGCTTTATTCCAATACACATCATCCCCTGTTAGATGGGATAGGTACTTCATCTCCAACTGCACGGTGGCTGCCTCAGCAGTAGATGAGGCCCCGCCATCAGCATGCGAGCGGATCCCTTCTCGTTTTGCTAGGTTGATGCTAGCATAAGGGATGCCCGATCCCGAGTTATATGCTGCGAGCAGTCGGTCTGATAAGTCGACTGCTTTGGACAGGTAAACGAAATCGCGCCCGGAGGAAGCATCTGGAAGCTGAGTGGATAGGTAATGAGCAGACAGCAGGCCCCCAAGCATACGTATTGTGGTCTCGAATGTATTCACGTCCTGGTCTTGATCATAGGTTAAATTCTTATCTAGCCATTGTCGAGCATCCGATAAACGAGTTGTAAGATTCATGATCATGAGCGTATCCAGGCTGTCCACGATTATCCATCCGAGGCCATTGGGGCTCATCTGAGAGCCCATTTTTGACAATGGATGGAATCGGTCTTGTCCTGCTCGAAAGTTGAATTTTCTATCATTCAAATTTGATGCAATGCCGTTCGTCACTCACCCCAGGCATACTGTGCATATGCATCCCAGCTAGTAGTGAAGGCTGTTCGAACCTCCTCTCTATGGATTTCCCAGTAGGTGTCGTTGTGAACTGAAGGAGATGGTCCTAGAAGCGTATCTAGGCTTAAGAAGTGGAAATACCAGCCCACGATTAATGCCAATATTCCAACTAGAGATGCGGAGGCTTTCGAAGGGGATGGGAACAAATAGCGCCAAGTGCCAGCGTCCGGGGTTGTTGTATACGGTCGGCGCTTATTCCCTCGACTATCTGTGTCCCTACAAGCCATGGAATCAGTGGTGGGTATGGAAGTCACAGGTCGACAACTGATCGGAAACTATGCCAGGTGTGTTGTTTAACAACACTTCTTGAAAGAAGAAAGCTTACCCAGATCCCATGCACGGATCAGGGAAAATGCGGCGCATACATGGACGTGCTGGCGGCTACAGGATGGCTCCAATTTGCGAGCAGCACCCGCCATCCCCACTCCTAGCATATCTAACAGCTCGGACATGCTCACAGCTCCCCCATTGGCTATGACAATGGAGTCGGCGGGGGTAATACTACTATCCGTTAGCAGCAACGCTAGACTGACGCCGCTGAATGTGATTGCTACAGGTCACCATCTCATAGCTCCAACGGCTGAAAAGGCATAGTGGTGCATGCCTTCTTTGTGGCTATGGCGCTTAGCGATTGGCAATCAGAATTGAGTACCCCTCCCAATGTCGATAGGGTTAGTAGCTGCATCGTTAGGCATATTTGGTGTAAATATGGATCCAGGACGCTCCCGGAAAGGTGGTGGGCGCTTAAAACAGTGTCTATATGAGGCTGGCGCCCCGACATTTGCTACTGGGTCTTCTGCGAGGACTTTAGGGATCTGAAACTTGCCATCGGTAGATTGCGGCTGCCGTGACATTCCTCCCCCTCACAACAGTGCGATCAAATTCAAGCGCGCTCTGTCTGCATGAGCAGGTCGTCAAACGAATTGAGAAAGACCTTCCGACGCGAAAATACGGGTATCGAAACGAAAAAATCACCATAAATCGCCAGAATGAGTGTCAGCATGGACACGACAGAGTCCAATTATCCTCCCGAAACGGATAGTAGTGGTACTGTCACATCCTACATGCCACTCACCTCAGTATGGACGGCTTCCTCGGGATGTGAAAGCAAGTTTCGCCTTGATGGACCTAGTCTTATGGCCTGGGACCCTGGATATATGCTTGACATAGATACCAATGCTCGATGTTGCCCGCCTCAGATGGTGACTTGGTGGGAACAAGCCCTACTCGGTGTCGGAGGTCAATATCACACAGAGATGGAGATTGGGCCGTTCACTGGACCGGAATCCTGGCCAACGGTCGCATCATCAATAAAGAATGAATACAGCACGCTATGGATGTGTTGCCCATCGTAAGTGCACACTCCATCTACAAGGATTTACATCCCATTCTACAAACAACATACTAACCATACACAAACAGAGGTTACTTCCTATCTCAGGGAACAGTCGGACAGGTAACTGGAAGGTGCATGTCAAGCGTTTATTCCGGGCAGACTTTGACATACGGATCAACGCCATTAAGTGACCATACAGCATGGGCAATGGCAACAACGACATTGACAACGGATTCGACCGTTGGGGCAATCGATATAGTTGGCTGGGAGATAAAGTATCCCGTCACGGCCACAGCAACAGCCACGTCTACGTCAACGGCGACCGCGTCCACCACCTCATCCACCTTAATTTCGGTTCCATCAACAGCAGAGGACAATACTTCAACTTCTGGGAATACCCTGAGCACTGGTGCGAAAGCTGGAATTGGCATTGGTGTTGGGGTGGGTGCAGTGGGCATAATCGCTCTGATCCTGGCTTTATTCCTTTTTAACCAGCGGAAACGACTCGCCATAAACAGTCAGCAGCCGGTCGCTGCATACGCATACTATCCGCCATTTGCAAGGAATGCGAAGCCCGCTGAGCTACCAGGGTATAGGGGTATGCCTGGTGATGCATGGGCTTCCTCACCTGTGGAAATGGGCGAGAGGTGAATATAATAAAGTTCTACTTGAATTCGCACATTCTTCTCTCTTTCTATATTTGTACATATTTATCACCTATTTTTTTTGGGTAGCACGATAATAGAGCCTACAGAGTATATTTATATTCACGGAAGAATACCATTATTTGTGCGACTACACACAGCTCCTAATCAAGTCTGTGCCAAGGGCTGGAAATGGCCACTTTCCCCGACCACATGAAGCGTACTAAGAATATCATCTCAAAAAGAACAAGGGAGACGACCAGATCTTTCCACTGGCTGGTCAGCGCACACAGCCCAGAATCAAGATGAAACACAGCCCTGTCATGGTTCATTATCACGGAGAAATGAACGTTGGGTCCAGGACCGCACTAATGGCTGCATTAGGCCGTCGCAACTATCCAGAAACTAGACTACGCTCATAACAGACTAACAAGCGCCGCCAACTTTAGTACACCACCTACACCCTACACAGTAACAATTATCACACCACCCATACACCATTTATTTAGCCGTGTACCGTGGTCTATGCGCTTAATGGCCAGGGCAACTGGCCCCGGGGTCAACGGTACCTTGCACGTGCAGCATTAGTTCTTGCTTAGGGACACACACCAGTTAACTACCTGCCTCATAGAGTTAGTCGGGGGAATAAGTTGGACCAGCAACTCATTAAATCATGATATCGGTCAATGTGATACTTTCACACCTACAAGTCCATCGTCAAGCATTCTTATAAATGAAATTTGAACATGTTCATGTACCTCCGAATAACAGACGCATCATGAATCCGCCCGAATCCCACGTGGATCCCGGCCCGTCCTGGAGCTAAGCTAAACTCAAGCGAATCCTTAACAGGAGAATGGAGAGCACTGGGTTACGATCACGGACCAACTAGGCCCCGAGCAGTTCCGGGGAGGGAAGCTATTCCGAGCTGCCAGTTTAGCGCGCGGAAGTCACTTGCTCCTCTTCTTCCTTCGCACTCGGACGATCGCCTCGACATGATCCTGCGATTATATTCAGATTCTTCATAAAACTGTCAGCTCTTGTCATCTTTCATGCATGTGCATGATCCTGCGAATGGTAAGGCTGACATATTCCCTTTTTTGCTTTTCTCTCCTGTGGTCAGGCGCCCTCGGCGATCTTCCGGTTGCATTTCGGTCAGCAAAGGCACGAGGTGTTATCGTTATATTAGGATGGGACCCTTAGTCTAATTAATGGGTGGCACTAAAAACAAGCGGTGCTATCACACTGCCTCCGCGCTACGTCGAAAAATCTCATTCGGCGTTACAAGATCCCTACATCATACATCATAATGGACCCCTGCACGGTCTTCCCGGCTGACTTGATAGGCCTCTAATATTCGTGCACCCCTCCGTTCGGCCAGAATCATTCGGCTCAGCCGCTGTTTAGTGCTTGGTCTAGTCACTATCCGAGCAGGCCGGATCCCCTCCCTAAGCAATCTCTAACCCCACAAGGGCATCCGCAGCCCATTGTTCTCTGTCAATCAACAGATGGAGGCGAGCTGCGCGCAGCCAACATCCTGCAGATTCTTACCACATTCGACAATGGCCATAGGTTAGCTGCAGGACCGGCGCCGTCATCCAGCGATCAATCAATGGCCAGGACCCCAAATACCCATGCTATCCGCTGGGGTTGTAATGACTACCCTGCTACCTTTCAGGGTAGGCTGTGAATTGGTTTAGTTATATGGGTGCCCTCTCCGCCCAAAACTGCGCACCATGCTTTCACCCTTTTATTGCGATCTCGCCCACCAGGAATGGAATCAGAATGAAAGAGCCCCCCATGCACCGTGCATACTTCACGATGGGCCGGAGCCAGCGATTCTGGCTCAGGTCGTTATCTAATGTGGTGATGGCTTTCATGGTCGTTGTTGGCCTAATGAAGATGTTCTCCCAATTCCGTGAGTCTACTTCATTCCAAGTTACGTTGTAACTTGTATAAGACTGACCTTCCCAGAAAGCCACCACGAGGCGCAACCATCAGATTCTCAACCTATAATCCGAAAGGTCACTATGGTCTATGGTAACAGAACCTCTTATTATCGAGGCTTAAAGACCCATGAGGATCATTCACTCAAATTCGGATATCCCATGACCGTGCTGCGCAAACCCATCCTTGGGGGATACTGGAGTAAACCTGCCATTCTCTTATCAGCTCTCGTAGAGGAAATGGAAAAGCCAGAGGAAGATCAGGCAGAATGGTTATTGTGAGTTTACCAAACAAGCATGCGAGGAGATCAGTACCGTGAACTAACCAAAGGTCCCCAACGAACAGTTGGTTTGATGGAGACACTATCCTTATGAACCCCAACATTCCCCTCGAGATCTTCCTCCCACCTCCTCAATTCGACGATACTCATCTCCTCATGACCAGCGACTGGAACGGCATGAACAACGGAGTTTTCTTTATCCGCGTCAATCAGTGGGCCATCGAATTGCTTTCTGCTACACTTGCCTACCCAACATCACATCCCGAGGTTAGCCTATTATTTGCAGACCAGTCCGCCATGGATAATGTTATCCTTAAGCACGAATACTTCCGTCGTTCTATCGTATTTTACCCTTTGCGATGGTTCAATGCCTACCCGCGAAACGCGGATGCTGTTGACCTCAACCCCGATCGCCCCGTGGACTCGCAAGTACATCATGGAGATCTCCTGGTTCATTTCCCCGGAGCACCGCCAGATCGGTTCGACGAGATCATGGACCCCTACCTCAAGGTAGCCGAAGCGCATACCCCGGAATGGGAATTGCCTCTTCAGAAGACGGGATATATGAAAGAAATAACGGACTTTTGGCGGGACAGACATGAGTTGTTATTTGGGGATACACCTGAGTCGTCTGACAACCTAGCTTGATCGGGCTGGTCCCAGGGGTTCAAGTTTTCTGTATACAAGATGACACGTTTGGCTTCTTGTCGCAAACATTGCCCATCGAGTGCCGGCACTTTTATGAGAGCGACAATGTTTTGTGACAGCATATACTATGATGTACGACTAATTCACCATTCCTGAGGTGATTATCGTTGCTTTTGCTCTAACAAACCCCATGATACCATATCTCAATGCAGCCTTCTTGATTAACTCATGAACAATGCAACCCACCAACAATAACCCAACCACGTAGACCAAATGACCTACTCCCAGCGCGTGCTCATAACCACAGTGCGTGGAGCAATGTGTACATCTCCCCACCCAAAAGCGGCTCCTTTCAGCCGGAGCCGCTGATCACAATGCTTAGTTGGTTGGTCTGGCCGTGCCACACACACCACGGCGCTTACACAACATATCCTGTTGGTCAGGGTATCTTAATGGGCATAATCAGGTATAAAGAATATCATTTGAATCTAATTGCATTTCAATGCCTTGTGTGTGCCTGAGTATGGTTTCATAGCACATGATTATATTGCAGATTCCGACATGGGCTGTGCTTGCATCATTCGTCTTTATGTGAGTCTTGCCCAGGAATGCCATGTTTTACTTAGTACCCTAGTAGTATCATTTTCTTCTCAGCCAAACTTATACTAGTAAAGCCGAAGAGTCCAGACACACGCACACACACACACACACATATACCATTATGATAGACTTGCTCACCAACAGTCGGTAACGCAGCCATTAGAGCCATGAGTACTAAGTAGAAATGCTTCCCTTCGAAAACCTGCAGCAACTATTTACTAGTAGTACTAGTAAAGTATCCCGCCCGGAGGGACGCCAAACCACTAACGTAAGCCCGTATTCGATCTTTCTCCATTCCGAAAAAAAAAAAAAAAAAAAAAAAAAAAAGGATATTCGGCTCATAGCTAATCTCAGGTATTACATGATCCTTAACAAATAGCAGGCACTACGTATGTAGTTTTCAATTCTAACTAGTAGTCAGATGCCGAATGGGTGTCGGTGCATGATTGGCTCTCTACTTCATACCCCACAGTTCAAGTTCTATGAGTGGATGGGTGGGTGGGTGAAAGAATCCTTTGCGGGGATAAGCTTTCTCATGTATATTGCCGGATTGGGCCTGGGATTTACTTGTCTATACGAGGTTCGGGAGGAGAAGGTTCAAGGGATGGTTTGTCGAGGGGTAATGTGATGCACTTGAGAGAGGTAGATAGTGATACTAGACGTAATAAGGGATTGTAGATACAGTTTCTGTATCTGGCTCAATAGGCTATATAAGGTCGAGTATATCCATATTTTTCGAGACAGAATCATCATCCCTTAGTTGTCTTTGTTCAATTTTATTCATCTGAAGTTCCATCTCTTGGCCACAATGATCGCTCCTGCTACCTCCATCGATAGGAAGGCTTCCTTTGCACGCTTCAATGCCACCAGTACCTCTACTGATGTCCTCGTCGAGGCAATCCGTCGAGACGGGGGCGTGATTGTAGAGGGCCTAATCACACGCGATGCAGCCGAACAGATCAAACAAGATCTCAAGCCCCACTTCGATAAAGATATACCAGACAAGTATGGCTTGTTCCCTCCAACCACCCAGCGTGCTACCAGTTTGCTAGGCATCTCAGATGCATGCGTCGACTTGGCTTGCAATCCAACTTATATCAGCGTTGCCAATGCACTTGTCTCATCCAGCTATTCATTCTGGAGGGGCGATCATAAGGTGAGCGTTTCTGGAAAGCCGATCATCTCTAGTACGGCTGGGTTCCGGGTGACACCAGGAAGTAAGCAGCAGGTGCTTCATCGGGATGATAAGTATGTCAGCAGGGACCTATGTCAGGCTGTTAGGCTGACATGATAGCAGTGACTATCATCCACATGACGCTCAACTGCCTGTAATGATTGGTTGTGTGACCGCATTGACGAAGACAGCCAAGGAGAACGGCGCGACCGTTGCAATTCCAGGATCACATCTCTGGGGCCCGGAGCGGCAACCATTCGATGAGGAGACAGTCCCTGCGGAACTGGAACCCGGTGATGCGTTTATATTCTTGGGGAATCTGTATCATGCTGGCGGTGCGAATGTCACTGAGTATGTTCCTCCTTTCTTCAATTTCTTTGCCGCACTTTGATGACCATTCTGGCGCTTAGAAACGATTGCCGCGAAACGGTGGGAATCTTCCTCTGCAAGCC